CACACCCCTCTTGATGCACTTGGGAGAGTAATGCGACCGATGCTCTTACACCCTAGGGCACGAGACGCTGAGCGACGCGAACAACTCACTAGTGCACATCTTATTATAAGGCGTCATACTGCTGCCTCTGCAATTACTACCACTGTGAATCGTAGTCGTACAATGCCTACAAAAACAAGATCACACGTCAGTTTACCTCCTTTGGAGCAGAACCTGAGAACGTACCCGATATCAGACTCGTACCACGCGAAGATCGATCCAACATTCTGATACGGAATGCATCTGTCCTCGCCGGGAAGTACGTAGATGTTCCAAGCAGGACCGTTGTTTTGATCGCAGTTGAGGTTGCTGAAGATCCAAATCTTGGCAAGGTTTTTGGGCAGGTTGCCGGATAGTGCGTCTCGGCCTAGCTCGGCTGTTCCTGCATCTAGTGCGGGCAGTGCTTCTGTAAGTAGTGCGGGTGCTGGGTTGGCCGTAAATGTGGCTGCCAGAGCGCCGAGGCTGAAGAGGAGGGGAGAGAAGTGCATGATGGCTCTCTTGCAATATAAGGACTCAAGTAACGACGTTCTGAGACTGTTTTGATAGGGGGTCCTGGTGAAAGTCGAGGCTACGTACTATATACGCGTAGCTTACCATGTCTCTAGTGCCAGCCCCAGCGGTAAAGGTCCTCCAAGACATGTGTGAGATGCTGGCAACGCTAATCGTGAGTATAGGGAACGTTTCAAGTCAATAGTTCTGCGATCGTGACAATCTTGTTCGTGCTGATCGACGTTATGACGCCTTTCTGCTTCGGCGCATCGTGAGCGCCACCTCTTCCTACATTTCGCATAGCCCTCTTCCACATGGAACGCCAACACTCTATCTAAAACTGATCGTAAACACATCTGGCCTCGTATGCAGTAGCTCTTGAGTGTGTATGTCTCACAGTGTGATTTTGTGGTCATAGATGTCGAGTTCGCTAGCAGGCCTCGGAGTCCGAAGAACAGTGACAGTTAGCGGGGCTAGGGCGTCTAGTGACAACTAGGAATTACGGTTTGCTGAGAGCGTACAATTGATTTAGGTGTAATCGTATGCAGGTTGAGGAGCTGACAAAAGCTGACGTACACAGTTCGTGAGCGGTGTCAGGCAACTAACGGCCGGCATAGTGTCACCAAAATCTATAAGCTAGCCCAACTAGAGCCTACATTCCCACATTGACAGCACATGTGTCATCTGTAACGGGTGATACGTTCAGTACAATCTGGTTGCTTGCAGGATATTAGCCTAAAGATGCAATGAAGTTTAGATCCTTGGGGGAGGCTCAACTACCGGGATGTGCAAAGTCAGGCAAACTTGACGGGTAAATCACTCATCTATACGAAGAATCTTTAACATGAGGATGATATTTTGATCGCTCATCCTCTGTACTCATTGTATACGTTATCTTGTAATATACATTATATACTAACTATGTAGGGAAATGAAAGACTTATGGGTTAGGCTAATGTGATGATGACGTATGAAAGCGAGTGGTGCGTAAAGAGCGTTGCGACATCCAGTATGTGGGTCTACCCGTGGCAAGGTAAACTCATGGGAGTACGATCTGTACAGTCCGGGCGATGCTAGGAACTCCCTCCTTCGACATGACAAAGACGTAGTAGGCACCTGGGATGAGAATGCCACTGTCGTCAGGCAGTGTAGCAGTGTAACTGCATCCATCACCCTTGACGTTGGTCAAAGGCACGCGGCGCTGATCGGTGTTGACGGAGTGTGTGACGCTGCCGATGCGGACCAAGGCGAACTTGAGGCCTGGTGTAGACGTCTCGACTTGGATGGTCAGTTTGCCTCCAACCTTGACGCTCTCCGCGCTCAAAGAGCTGATGACTGGTCGGGTGGCGGGGGTACCGTCGTTGTTGAAGAGATATGGTGGGGAAAAGATCTGGCCATCGGCATGGTCGACGAGTTTGTTGCAGTTGGCGGAGCTGCGGCCGACTCCCTGCGCGACGTAGCAGAGACCACCGCCACCGGAGAAAACGCGTCCATCAGCTAGCAGGATGCTGACTGAGTGATAGTTGCGGGGGACAGCTTGTGGTGCTAGAGTCGTCCAAGATTTGGTGGCTGGGTCGAACAGTTCTGGGTAGAGAGCTCCATCCGTATCGGTGAAGACCAATGAGCGTTTTTGACCACCGCTTACCAGAACTTTTCCGTCAGGCAGAACGACCGCGTTGGAGAAACCGCGAGGGTAGGCCATGTCCGCGACTCGCTCAACCTTGGCAGGGGTGTTCGGCTCGCCGATTGTAGTGATGTGGGCCCGAGCGTTGGCGTCTGCGTTGGTGTAGTCAGGCGCGCCGCCAGCACTCAAGATCTTGCCAGCAGTGGCATCGTACATGACGAAGATTCCACACATTGCATCATCAATGGGGTCACGAATACCAGCAGCGACTTGCGATCCAGTTCCCTTGGTACCGTACCAGTTCATGGCCTTGCTTGGACCGGCCTGGAAAACGGAGGCGTTCTTCCAACCAAACAACCATGCATGGTTGTCTTCACGCCAAATGCCTTCATGGTCGGTCGTGAGCATAGCCTTCATCTTCGCGTTTGGCAGTGCCGTCCAGGCGTTGGTGGCAGGGTCGTACACTTCGCCGTCTTTACCCTTGCGTGGACCAGAGTATGCACCTCCGATGGTGAAAACGCGGTTGTCGGATGTCGTCGTGGATGATTGGTAGCCGCGAGCCATTTTCCTAAGTACCATCAGTATGAAGTTCATATCATTGAGCTAGAAAAGACTAACATGTCGGGTGCACGAGTGAATCCGTTTGATGCTGGATCATAAAGACTGGCCGCGGAAGCGTCAGATCCTCCTTGGATCAGAAGCTTTCCGTCCTGAAGACTGCTCATTGCGGGACAGAACATGTCGTGATGAGTGTTGCTCACTGTACGAGCTGAAACAGCACCACTGAGAGAATGTTAGCGTGCGTTGATGATACTGGACCACTATGACTTACGTGTTGAAGTTGTAGTCCGCAAATTGAGTGCGTCCACCAGCACCTCCGAAAGCATCAGCGCCCCAACTCGAGAATACGAGAAGACGTTCCGAAACAGGGTATTCCGGGACGACATATGCAGCAACGGGGATGACGGGCAGGCGGATAAGATCTGACCATTCACCATCCTTCGCAGGCGCAGGCGCTACATTGAGACGCATTACATCGAAGCGTTTGTCGGTTGACCAGATCAAAGTGTTACTGCGCGAGTCGGCTTTGATGTGGCAAGCCTTCTTGACAGAATCGTAGACAGCGGCGGTACATGTGGCCCAGTTGGCGCAAAGGTAGGCACAGGTATCAAATGTGTTCACGCCTTGCCATACCTTCTCGCTTGGTCCGCGGATGTCGGTGCCAGGGCAGATGCTGTATTGTTTCTAGCGGTGCAATGTTAATATCCGCGTGTCTCAAGCTACAGGGGAGCAGACTTACCCTGTTTCTGTGATACGTCCATTCGCCAGCAGGGCAGCGAGCGATGTTCACTTGCTCTGCTTGAATGACCTGGAAGCGATCGTTGGCAACCCAATTCAGGCCGGCAAGATCCTTGAAGTGGCAATCTTTCGTCTTGGTATCAAACACTGCCTTGAAGCAGTCCATACTCTTGTCGCAAAGTTTTGCGCATGCTGTAACGGAAGCAACGCGCGTGATCGATTTCGTGGGTCCTGTAAGGTCGGTGCCGGGGCAAACTCGATATCTGATGCCTTCCGCTCCAGTAAAGATATCGTCGTTGCCAGGGCAAGCATTAAGACCGTGGGTGAATTGTAAAAGAGTGGCTGCCGAAAGCACGGCGAAAAGAGTGCGGACCTGCATCTTGGATGTGAAATCAGACAACTGGCCTGAGGCAGGAATCGGAGGACTGGCGTCAACTATCTATATACCCGTCCCAGCCACGATCCCATAACGGTGACCCGCATAGGAGTTTGCAAAAATGGATACCATTGAAACGAACGAGGGGATTGTAGACCTAGCATCGAAGAGGATAGCGTACTGCCAAGATGGGAACCGTTCGTGAGTAGCTACCCTGTATATGCTCACCTATATATCGTATTTTAGTATCTTCGATAGCGCTAATGGCACCAGATCCGGACCTAACAGGGGGTTCATGTCAACGGTAGCGGGCCGGGAGACCCAGGCAGGTTAGCGATGATGCCACTATCGGTATGCTCGGTGTTCCTGGAGTCATGCTGTTGACTGCGCCTCAAGCAAAAGATCGAATGGATCTCGGCTCCTGGGTCGTGATGTGGAGTGTCGCATTGTTGTAATGAGTTGTTATGCTGATGCGATGACCCCAGTTCCCACATTTTCATGGGGACATGTGCCTTTTCCTCGGACAAAGTGCTATACCTGACAGTATTTTATACATCCTGAAAGGCCTGCTGAAGGATTGCGGCGGTGGTTCTACACGTGCCAGCTGGCAATTATCGATTCCATGTCAGGCTGCTTGAAACGCCAAGGCCAACGCTCCACCCCACCCCTGCGCCCATCAGGGAGACGTTATCTACAAAAAAAGAACTTCATGTGAATAACCACCGTCAAAACTCCGCCCCTGTTCCCAGCGCATGGGAATTGCAGGAACAGCTCTATCGGAGGTATCGTGGCGGATCCACACGATTTAAAGCCGGCTTGATAAGGTGCTCTAAATTTCAGTAACGCAATCCATTGTAGCTGCGATGCATGACATTGAGAGGTGAAAAGTGACGGTTGTCGGCACAACGGCCGGAGTGCAGAAGGCGATTGGGGTATCCTGGTGTGAATGCGGCTAGGTCAGCCGAGACGAAGGCGGCGCTTGCACTGGGCTTTTGAACTGAAAGGGAGGCTCGGTGAATCTGTCGTGACAGCTGAGACACCCTGGTCCTCACTGCTCGAGTCAGTCTATTGATACAAAGAGCAGCCCGTCTTGGCGATGGCTTCTATGGGCACGATCAAGTGTCGCATGAGGTACTCATCGAACAAGAGGATCTACGCGTGAACACGGTAGGTTCACCAGCCTTGACCGGGCATTCCAGCCCAAGCCGGCATTGGCCAATCCCATGGATTGCCATTGTAGTTCATCGAAGCTTGTTCCATGGGGAAAGCTACACAGCCCAGATTCATGCTGCCACGGGTAACGCTCGATTGGGAGCCGAGACTGTCCAAACTAATGAGCTCGGACGTTTGTGGATCATCAAGACCTGGCGTCTGGAATTGCGACTCTGCCGCTAGTTTGTCCCTTAGGGCCATCTTTTGTCTGATTTGCGCCACGATAGCTGGTGGATCCGATTGTTCGGACGTTATTGCTTCACGTGCCGACCAAGCTTGTAGAACAAGCCCCCCAAAGAGTGTGAAGAAAGGGTTGTTGGGTTTGGTCTCCACCGGGCTGTCCTTTTTCTCGAAGTCCATCAACCGAGCGGCGCAGTTCTCGCTCATTGCCTGCCACCATCGATCTGCGAGTTGGCCTAGTGGGCGTATTTTCAACTCTTGGGCGAGATGAATATAGGCAGGGAACGGGAAGTGCATGTAGACAACCCAGCGGAAATTTGCTATGAGGGGTGAGGTCATGAGCAGCGTATCGCACTCAAGCATACGGTGCGCAAATCCAAGACCAACGTTGCGCTGCTCCTCACTTCCTTGCGCAAGTCCCTTCGAGTTGTTTGATAGGCATTGTGCAAATCCGATCTTTGCGAGTGACGCGCGCGCCATCCACATGGTTAGAAAGTGCAGCGGGTTTTGAGCATCGCAACGCGTAAGATACTTTTGCTCTATCGTTGACTCAAAAGCGGCAAGCTCGTCAAGCCCTGAATAGGAGGCGTCAAATGCCTTCCTGGAGAAGGACTTCAGGGCCGGATTGATGAAGTCCAAATGAGATGGGCTTTGACGAATGAACTCGCCAATCTGGCTACGGATGACTGGAAATAAGGCTTCGGAAACGACCTCAGACTCAACAGGAGGGGTCTTGGTCTCGACTCGTAAGTTGAAATCGTTGACGTTGAGCGGGGCTTTGCAATCCCATGTCGGGATTAATGTAGTGGACTTGCTCTCGGTCATTTCAGACATCCTGTTGTCAAAGAGTGAGAGAGACCACCATAGTCTTCTGCGCAATTCGGCCTCTAGCACGCAATGTCTGGAATTGGCAGATTCGGCATCGATACCCATTCGCTGAGCAATGCGAACAGCAGCCCCTAGCATCGAAGACAATGACCGTGGGTCTGTGTCTGGTTTGAGTGAGACCAGGTAGAGATGGAGAGCTGTCAAGCATTCTCGATCGTTAGACTTCAAGAAGTTACAATTCAGCAGCGCCTCCCTTGCACCCAACTGGTAAGATCTGATCAGGTCCGGCTTAGGCCTACCAAACCATGATTGACACTGCTCCTGATTGAGGCTGAAAATAGCCATGCAATAGATGGAGAACATTAGGGCCTCCAAATTTGGATCGATATGTGAGATGTCGCTAGCGGCATCGATGATGCGTGGCTGGAGGGTAGGCGTATGGGTGAGCTTCAATAATGGGTCGACATTCTCAAGGTACAGTTGCCAAAGTTTGAACACCTGGCTTTGTGGGGGATGGAGAACTGATAGGTCGACGGCCGTACTACGCGAGCAGAACAAGAGATCTTCGTTACGGTGTAGTTTCTGCGCATAGAGGTTGTCCCAGGCTTGCACAATCTGCGCTTGCTGTAATGCGTGTTGCGAAGAGCCGCTGTTCTCGGAATCGTCGTCGCTGCCGTCGTCATCAGCATCGTATGCTAATCGGTTTAAGGCAAGCCAAAAACTCCTAGTACAGTTAGTAGTGTCTCTTTCAAGTGCTACAGTTTCTGCGTACTTGGGTTGGGTGTTGTCGGTATCTGATATGGTGGACGATTGAGCTCTGGAAATCTCCTGACCGCGACTGACGTTACTTTCGTGGGGCCCTGTGGATAAGTTCGAAGATGCATGTAAGGGTTGGAAGGCAATGCCGTTCGTCTTCAAGAGGTCTTCGTAGTGGCGAAGACGCTCAAGCAGCTCCCGTTCGGCAAATCTACGACGTCGTTGCCGCGGTTGCGTCGCTGCGGAGATGCATTGCACACCCGCCTTCTTGCAGTTGGAGCAAGGAAAAGCCCGGTCACATTTGACCTTTCTTTGCGCGCATAGCACGCACGAAAGCACGCGCTGAGACTTGCTTACATGCGCTAATGGAGACAGTGCATCAGCGCTGAGTTCAGGTGTGAGTATATCAGACGACATGTCAAGGAAACGAGCTCTCTTTCGTGACGGCGGTATTGATCAGGCATGCGAGGGCGGAGTGGAAAAGGCCACCACAGAGCAGGTGGCGAGGCAGGCGCTAACCAGGCAGCCAGGCAGCCAGGCAACCAGACGCGAGACGCTCGCCTGGACTCTGCTTATCCCCGGGCTGACTGCAACGAAAGAGCATTGTGGCTTCATGTGAGAAATATGGGTCCTTGCGACGAAGAGGGCGGTTCGCAGGATAGCAGGCAGGCAGGCCGGCGCAAGAGGGTGCCCAGGCTCGATACCACCATCACGACGCGTGAGGCTTACGTAAACCGCACTTCCCGCTTCAGTCGCGTTCGTCAACCACAGCCACTCCTTTCTCTTGTTTCAGCAGTGACGGGATGGTATCTATCCCAATATCTCCGCAATCTTCGCGTTTATTCACGCTTACTACCTCCGATGTCTGAACTTGAGGTTCGATCCGTAAGGGCGTGATGACGCGCACCGACGCCTCAGTAAGGTGCGGCCAGCCTCTCGGTCAGATCTAATCCCCGAGCCCATCACGTGATCTCTCTCCCATCGAACACCAACTCTGGGCATCCAGGACATTGAATTGTTACAACACATCGAATCGTTAGTATGCGTTCGGAGAAACTCTGGTATTTCCTACCAGTTCTGAATCACTCGTTACTCTGCAACAGGTCGAAGTTCGCTTCCAAGGTTTGCGTAGACCTCCATGTCGGACATTGCTACTCCCCGAACGGGATTGTATTGCAAAACACCATTCGGGACGTTGCACATACCGAATGTACATATAACAGCCAAGCTTCTCTTGACAATGTTCTAGTGTATCCAATCTCAAGTTTCTCTCTGAACCCCACTGCGCCTATTCCGAAGTTTACGCCATGACTACAACATCTCAAGTTGGGACTACAACAGTGCCCCAGCCCGCTAGTTTGCACGAAGAGCATGAGAAAGATGCCTCACCTTCAGCCTCTAGAGGCAACGAGTACGCAGATTCCGAGGAGAACTATAAGCCCAAAACGCTCAAGTTTTGGCTTGTCATCATCTCGATCTATCTGGCCTTCTTCCTTGTCGCTCTCGACCGCATGATCATTGGTACGTCAAGTTGCTCCGTCTTCAGTCCTTACTGACACTGTTTAGCTACTGCTATACCAGCAATCACAAACACCTACGGCACTATCGCGGATATAGGCTGGTATGGTAGTGGCTATATGCTTACGTGCGCAATCTTCAATCCACTCTTCGGCAAAATTTACCAGCTTTACGATACTAAATCGACGTTCTTGGTGTCTGTCTTCCTGTTCGAAGTTGGCAGTGCATTATGTGGGGCCGCAGCTACTTCTGTTGTTCGTAAGTATCCACCAAATCGGGAGATGATGCACTCGCTGACCCTCATTGAAGTCATCATCGGTCGCGCAATCGCAGGTATTGGAGCAGCTGGACTTCAATCTGGTGCGGTCATGATCATCGTACCTCTCGTGCCATTGCGAAGGCGACCCATTTTCACTTCTTTTCTCGGTCTCGCATTTGGAGTGTCATCTGTATTGGGGCCCTTCGTTGGAGGTACCTTCACGGACAGCCCGTAAGTCTCCCGGCTTTCTTCGTGAGTCACGGTTAACACGCAAATAGGACCTTGACGTGGAGGTGGTGCTTCTACATAAACCTCCCCATCGGTGCCTTGACGTTCGCGTGCATATTCTTCTTTCTGGATCTCCCTTCAACGCCTAAAGAGAAGCTGTCCATTCTCGCTCAGCTCAAGCGCCTCGACCCAATAGGTCTTCTCTTCTTCGTACCATCCATGGTATGCCTTATCCTCGCTCTTCAGTGGGGAGGTACGACCGATCCCTGGTCGGCACCGAAAATCATCGGCCTGCTCGTCACATTTGCAATTACTTTCATCGCATTCCTGGTTGTGGAGTTTACGATGCCGGATACAGCCATGGCCCCGCCTCGGGTCATCTTGAACCGTTCGATGGGCGGTGCTATGCTATTCATCTTTCTCCTCGCCGGCGGTATGATGAACGCTGTATACTATATCGCCATTTGGTTCCAGGCAGCCCAGGGCCAGTCTGCCATGCAGGCTGGTGTACGCACGATACCGTTGTGCACATCGCTTATTATCTCCGGCATTATCACAGCAGTGATAACTCAGAAGATGGGATATTATGTCCCTGCTATGCTCCTTTCGGCCGTTGTCGCATCAATCGCCAGTGGCCTCCTTTCTACACTTACGCCGGAGTCGAGCGCTGGCGAATGGATTGGTTATCAGATCTTCTACGGGTGCGGGCTTGGCTTTGGGCTTCAAACATCGAACTTGGTGCCGCAGACTATCCTGCCGCGCTCAGATGTTTCCCTAGGCATGGCGATGAGTAAGCTTATCTGTAGGACCTGCATGCTGAACATACGCTGACTTCGTAAACCTATAGTGTTCTTCCTAAATCAACAGGGTGGTGCCATCTTCCTTGCTGTTGGACAAAATCTTTTCTCGACTCAGCTCGTCAAGCAACTATCGGGCAACTCCAACCTTGACACTAGACTCATCATCAACACCGGTGCAACAGACCTCCGAAAAGTGGTAGCGGCGAACGAGATCGATACGGTGGTATCGGCGTACAGCTACTCGATAACTCGGACGTTCCTGCTAGCAGCAGCACTCAGCGCTTGCACCATCATTGGAGCGTTGATGGTGGAATGGAGGAGCATCAAAGAACGTGCGGGAAAGCCAGCAAAACAAGTGACAAAAGATGTCGAGAAAGAGGCTGCTTGAACTGAAGCACCCTACATTTGGAATACACGGCAATGAAGCAATCGACGGTGTTGGGAATAGAGGAATTGTAACTAGAAGAGAGTTTCATAGCATCATAGAGCCTAGTACACAATTGATCGTCATGCAAGAAGTTTTCGCAAATCTATCGACATAAATCGACGAAGCATACCCTTGCTTCTTACACTAACTGGCCAGGTTACTAACATCAGCGCTGCGCATCCTCTCCTTTGACACCAAGAGCTCTTTCGGAAACCATTCCGATAACTTGCCACCCGGTCTCCCCGGAGCTTCAGGTAAGTCCTCTTCTTCACTACCAGCAATCATGATACCAAGAGCAGCACCTGAAAGCCAAGCCCACACCATCCCTTCTCCCGAGAAGCCCGCCGCAATCCACTCCCCGCACGAGTCCTTGTCAGACGCCACGCGTTTTCGTGCTTTGATATCCCGCCCCGTTAGCTTGGCACCCAAACGACCCACAAATGGCATGTAATCGCCAGTTAAACCAATGATACCAGACCACATCTGCTTCAACTCAGCACCAGCACCCCATTTGGGATGAAACACTGCCGGAAAGACACCCGTTATGTGTGCGGCGGTCAATCGGTCGAGTTGAGGGCCATCGTTATACCGACCGACTTGATCGATACCTTGTTTCAGCGATCGCACGAAACCGCCGCCAATCATCAAATCTCCTTTGAAACCACTGGTGGCTGGTGGACGTTGTGTGACGTAGTCGAAACCCTCACCGTATACTACACTCCATGAGCGCATGCCGTCAGCATATGGGAATGTTTGTCCTGGTTGCTGCGCGGACATGTGGGCTCGTGCGCCTACGATTTTGCTGCGAAAACCTGGGACAAGATGGCTTGCGAAGCTGTTCGTGGCGTGGACTATGTGGCGGGCGAATATCGTTCCTCGGGTAGTTTGTACAGCGTATGGGAAGTCTTCAGGCGCCGTGTCTGGGATGCTGATTGACTCTACGGGAGTGTTTGTCTCGATAGAGACTGTATCAGGGAAGTCGTTGAGAAGACCATTCCAGATAGATGCAACGAATCGGTACGCCCAGATAGCGCCTGCTTGGTAGGACAAAGCGCCGACGACGCTGTTGTTGACACCGAATTTCTGTTTTCGTCAGAATCGGGAAGTTCCTTTGCTAGTCAACTCAGGGTGTCATCAAACCTTCTGTACTTCATCACCTTTCCACACCGTAATCTCGACCCCAGGCAACCATTTCTTCAACTCTTCAACATCGGCGACAGCCTTGGAGAAACTTTCGTCATCCAGAAAAAAGTCCGCAGTCTCGACCTTTCGAGCTTCGGCAGACTCAATGCCTTCGCTTTCGCATAACTCTGTCAAGTACTTGACGTGTAAAAGCTGGAAACGCACCAGGGCAGCAGCGCGATCTTTCGGCAACAGGTTGCTGAATCGAGAGAAGCTTTCGTAAACCGAGGGTTTGATGTGACCGCCATTTCGAGCAGTTGCACCGCTGCACAGCTGTCGAGCTTCGAGGACCACCACTTTCTCATCAGTGTGAATATTGCGACGGCGTCGCTCGTGTAACAATGATCGCGCGACAGCAGCGCCAGCTATTCCGGAACCGATGATGGCCACATCTACAATTTCCGGCAGTTTGGGCGAGCCTGCGTCGCATAGTGCAGGGTGTGGAGGGTCGCTGAGCCAGTAAGTTTCGGATGGCTTGGGGACCGGAAGACCCGGGGGTTGTGATGCACGCTTCAGAGCTTGATCGAACTCGGTTGACAAAGCTCTTAAGAGAGATGCTGCTGCGATGAGAGCCTTGGCTGTGTTTCGCAGAATTGAGAGAACTCCGCCCATCTTGACCTAGATCTATTGACTGAGACAGCTGGTTGCAGATTTGCTGGTTGTACGAGGATGGAGAGTCCCCTGTTGTGCATTTCCTTGGCAAAGTGGATGCCTAACACGATGTACGAAGTAGAAATACACCTCGCCTCTGTGAACAATCGTTTGGATGCTTGTAAATCTATCATTTCCGTATCGTAAATGCCTATAGTAACCTCCCTAAACGCCAACCAATCCATGCATACCTAATCGCGTCTCTCGTCAAGCGTGCTCTAGCCGACCCATCGCCTAGCACTCTTGAACATGCGTGACCACGGGCCAAGTTCGCCCCATCCTTCTACATCTCGTGGGATATAGCTTCCAACCTCCTTCAAGATAGTGCGTTCGGGATGCGGCATCATCGCCAATACCCGACCATCGGTACTCCTCACACCACTGATACCCATTGGACTGCCGTTCGGGTTGTATGGGTATGTCTCGGTTTGCTTTCCATAGTTGTCGACGTAGCGGAACGACACAAGGTTTTCGTTATATAGCGCTTGTGGGCTCGAAACTGAGGAAGCAGAGTTGGAGAAGTGAGCGCGTCCCTCGCCGTGCGCGGTGACGATGGGAAGTTTGGATCCAGCCATGCCGTGCAGGAAGACAGATGGCGGTGTGTTGGGTCCCTTGGGATCGAGCACCTCGACCATGCAGACACGCGCTTCGTATTGCTCAGACGCGTTACGCTCGAAGCTAGGCCATAGCTCCGCACCAGGGATCAACTCCTTCAACTTGCTCATGAACTGGCAACCATTGCAGACACCAAGGGCAAAAGTATCTGGGCGCGCGAAGAACGTCTGGAATTCCTTGCGTGTGTTGGGGTGCAAGAGGACAGACTTTGCCCACCCTTGGCCTGCGCCAAGCACGTCACCGTAGGAGAAACCACCGCACGCTGCTATACCCACAAAGCCAGCGAGCGATACGCGCGAAGAGATGATGTCGGTCATGTGTACATCGATGGCAGTGAAACCGGCCTGGTGGAAAGCAAATGCCATCTCGGCTTGGCCATTTACACCTTCCTCGCGAAGAATGGCTACGCGAGGCTTGGCGGTAAAAGGTGACTTGAGGTTCGACATGAAGGGCAGAATGTTTTCGGCAGGCTTGAAGTTGAGGTTGTACGACAGGCCTGGGTCTTTGTCGTCGAGGATGTTCTTGAACTCGGCGTCGGCGCAAGCAGGGTTGTCTCGGAGCTTTTGCATGCGGTACGAGGTCTCTGCCCAGCGCTGCTGGAGCTTCTGGCGTGTGCTGCGGTAAACATTCTGGGTGCCGACGTAGAAAGAGATGTCTTGTTTTGTGGCCTCAGGTACGCGACCAATCTTCTTGATCATACCTGGAGGCGGCCCGCAGGTGGCAAAGCAGCGGTTGAAGGCAACTTCGTCCTTCTTCCTGATCTGGAAGACAGCTCCGAGCTCTTCGTTGAATAGTGTTTCCAGAACATCCTTAGGTTCGCTTGACGCCGCGATGCCGTCGAGCATGACCTCGATACCACATCGGCCGGCAAAGGCCATCTCAACAAGGGTTGTGAAAAGACCACCGTCGGACCTGTCATGGTATGCAAGCACGATATCCGACTCATGAAGTTGTTCGATCGCGTCAAAGTAGTCCTTGATGATATCGGCGTCGTAAACATCGGGTGCTTCATCGCCGATCTGTCCGAATGTTTGTGCTAGGGCAGAACCGCCCATGTGTTTCTTGCCCGCTGCTAGATCGACGAACATCAGGACGGTTTCACCGACATCCTCAACCCTCTCCAGGGCAGGTGTCCATGTTCGATCTGTGCGGTTGACAGGTGCAAATGCAGTGATGACAAGCGACATGGGTGCTGTGACTTCCTTGGCCTCGCCGTTGTCGGACCACTTCATCTTCATGCTCATCGAGTCCTTGCCGACGGGGATAGATATACCAAGCTTAGGGCAGAGATCCATGCCGATAGCTTCGACGGCCTCGTACAAGGCTGCACCCTCTCCGGGATGACTGCTTGCAGACATCCAGTTGGCCGAGAGTCGGACTCTAGATAGCCTGTCGAAGAGGCTTGCTGCAGCAATGTTCATCAGAGACTCTGCGACTGCCATCCTGGCAGATGCGGCCGGCGAGATGAGCGCCAGGGTAGGCTTCTCGCCCATAGTCATAGCCTCGCCAGTCCTGACACCAGCCAGTAGCGATGTAGCTGTTACCGATACATCGGCTACTGGGACCTGCCATTTGCCAACCATCTGATCACGGACAGTAAGGCCACCAACGGTGCGGTCTCCAATGGTGATCAAGAAGGACTTGGACCCTACGGCTGGTAGGGTGAGAACTCGGTCTATGGCTTCGGCGATCAAGCTATCCTTGGGTGTGTCGGGGATGTACATTGACAAGCTGCTGTCAAAGGCGGGAAGCCTCAACTTGCGGCTCTCGACAATGCGGGACATCTTTGGTGGCTTTCCGAAAAGTGTGGCCATTGGAAGATCGATGGGCGTAGGGTTATCCTTGGAATCCCTGTCGTTCAAAACTAGACGCTGCTCCTTGGTAGCTTTGCCAACGACGGAGTAACCGCATCGCTCACGGTGGCAGATGCGCTTGAACAAGTCTAGTTGGTCAGGGCTGACCGCAAGCACATAACGCTCCTGGGCCTCGCAGCACCATATTTGCAGTGGACTCATGCTCTTGTCAACATTGTCGATCTCGCGTAGCTCGAAGATGGCGCCGAGACCAGAGTCGTGAACAAGCTCGGGCAGTGCGTTGGACAGACCGCCAGCGCCGACGTCGTGAATGAAGAGGATGGGGTTCTTGTCGCCCATAGAGCGACACGCGTCAATGACTTCCTGCGCGCGCCTCTGCACCTCGGGGTTGCCTCGCTGCACACTGGCAAAGTCAAGGTCGACCTTGCCTTCGCCAGACTGGATACTGGAAGCTGCGCCGCCACCAAGACCGATAAGCATGGCAGGTCCACCGATAACGAGAAGGTGCGAGCCAGCGGGTACAACGTCAGGGTCCTTGAGCGCATGCTGCGGCCTGACGGTGCCCACACCACCTGCCAGCATAATAGGCTTGTGGTAGCCCCGCAGCTCCGACTCCTTCTCGTTTGTAAAGACGCGCATGAGCATGGTGCGGAAGTAACCGGTGGTGCATGGGCGGCCGAACTCGTTGTTGAACTGGGC